CGACCAGTGGTTTATGAGAATTTTTAAAAGCGATGCCGCCAACTTGGCGTGACCACGGTGTATAACAAAAAATAAATAACCACACAGCATTTCTCATTTTTGGAAACTTTTGGTACCCAGATGTAGTCACCGTAAAGAATTCGAAAATCAGCGATTTTGTCGAAGTCTTTCCAGATAAAACTTTCAACTACATAGCACTCTCAAAATGTCACTATTTTGAATGACGAACCCTGTGAAATGAATTCAGGGGATGAACATTTTTTTGTGATGTTCTACTCCTAATCACAGCTCAACTGTGAAGCAGTGTCGCGCTCCCTTGCCAGTAGCAACCAACACCAAACAAAGATTATCTTCTAGCATACTGTTTTAAGTATAGTATGGTAATCCTTGCTGCTGCTACCTTGAGACTACTAATTTCGCTCCGGCAATAATGTCCTGCATGGCGGACATCTAATTATACCCTCCTGGAACAATATTCCCCATGCCGGACAAGTAGTTAAACACTCCGGCGATACTGTTTCCATCCCAGACACCTAATTATACACTCCGGTAATGTTGTCCCGCATGCCGACACCTAACTATACACTCCGGTAACAATGTTCACCGTGCCGGGGATTACAGATTTTGTTCTAGCAGTAATGTTCCTTTGGTAACCAAATTCTTGAATGGTTTTAGCCAGTAACGCTGTGGTAACGCTGGTGGCACTTTTTCAAAGGTCACTGATTGACCTGAAATCAGCTTTTCGTGATGGGCCCTCCATGTCACCATTCTGGCCAAAAGGTTACCATTTTGGCGATGATTGCAGGGAGGTCACGGCAAAAATGTCCGGGGGCATTTTTGCCAGTCACATTCGAGACAGACTGCGTTGGTTTTGCGCTTCAATAAAATGTACATCCAGTTTTTTCATGCGCAGCTCAGACTCCTGTTTTCGTGTTTCTTTACGCATCCATTTCTACCTATCTCTCTTCGCGAGGAGTTCCCTTTTCTTCCTTTCTCTCTTTGCGACGAGCTTCCATTTCCTGCTTGCGCAACTTCTGCTTACAAGTTAATCGCTTCAGTTTATTCCTTGTTATGGAAAGAAGCCTTTATTGATACACATTTGATGTTCTCGTATCCCGACACGAAGGGCCAGATGGCCATTGAATACGTCCCTATGTACGCCCAGTCTCCCGGCAGTTACAGCTGCGTACGCGTATGACCTTATGTTGGGGAAACAGATCCAGAGCGCGAAATACGCCCGGGACGAGAATTTTTGACATTGGTTCTTGAATACGTATAATACAAACAGGAGCACTGATACCTCCTCCTCGGGTACACGGAGGGAGCGTCCGAAGGAATTCTGAGACTAAAAATAATGTTTTTGTAACGGCAGCTGATGTACTGCTTATAATTTACCTGTTACCCAGTTCATACCAAAAAAAAATTTGTCGCCCATTTTGCCATCTTGTAGCCATCGCTGACACCAGTAGACACGCCGAACGTTTCCGAACGATTGCGGTGTGACTGACTTGATGCAAATTGACTGATGCGACAGTCACAATGCACTATAAACAACGCTACAGCTGAATTTAAGTCGAAATGTGTTAACGAGGGAAAGCTTTCAACTGGTCGCGCGATTCACCGACCGCACATAGTATCATTAGATTCCCTGGAATTTATGGAATTTGTTATCTTGCAAAAGGTTTATCCCAAGCAATAAACTGAAGTTGCAAAACTTCAAAGAACCCTACATTGTAAAGATGGCTGCAAGCAATCTTTGACGTCAGCTTGCGATGGTTTCCTGACTTTCCTCAGACTCAGACATTCGGGTATCTTCCAACGCTTATGTAGGTTTTTTGTGCATTACACGCTGTAGATAACGACTGGTAACGTGGGTCATCACGTTCCGGAGCTTATCTACGCTCTGAATGGTCAAAACAACTATACCGCACGTTTTCAAGATACCGCGCTGCACAGCTCCGTTTTTTAACATACCCGCTCTTATCTCTAGGGTACGAATTATAACTTATGCACCATAGTGCGCTGCACTGGCCATATACCAGCCAACAGAGAATCATGTCTGACTCTTCGTATTGGCACTGTACTCGTACAGTTCTTTACCTTTACCGAAAAAAGAACTGAAAAATTATGTTGCACAAATTCTGCGGAAATGGGATTCTGTGTGGATTCTGTGGTGTAGCCGTTGTGGAAACTGAAGTGACCGTCAAATCTAATATCAGGCAACTCTATGAAGGAAGCGTTATGGGAATGTGTAAGTGAAATGGAAAACAGCTTCGAGGATGTGTTGTGCAGTGCATCTGTGGATCACGTTCTCAGCCAATCGGCAAAACGTATATCTTTCGTGATACGAATGCAGCGATGACTAAGTTACCTAATCTTTCACTTGCGCGCAACGGAGCGTTTTGCCCCACTTAAGAAAGCACATATGTCATATCTTTCTACTATGTTCGATTACAGCAAGAACTTGCTATAGGTAGAAGGACTGGGAACAGACTGCGCAACGGTCGCCTACGTCATCACTGTCGCATACAGAAAGCACTGCTGTGTTAATGCTTACCATAGTCCCACAGACTTTGTTGTCCCTTTTAATGGATATTTTAAAGTTTCTTTCTCATCAAAAGCTTTCTGATATTGTTAGAGATCATATTGAATATAGAAACCTCAATTTCGGGGGCTCAAGTAGAAGAGAAGAGAAATCTACTGAAAAAAACTGAGAGAAACCGTGAAAAGCGAGCATCGGCCACCATGGCAGCCGCCCTCCCGTGTATGCGAGAGTGATGACGTCAAACGGTTGGTTACCACTTCTTCTCACACTATAGTAAGTACAGTGAAACTTCTCTGCTACGTACACCCACCGTTCCCGGCTTTCTGAACGTTGCAGAGGGGTGTACGTTAGGTAGGGGCACTGCCCCTAGGGGCGAATAATAACGCCCCCCCCAGGGGTGAGTTATATATTTGTGTGTAATAAGTTTAGTTATATCATAGTGAAAGGATATATAGGCTTACAGTGAGATTACTCTTCGAAGGAAACTGAACAACTTGATTCCTTATGTAAACAAGCTGGTGCGCGTAAATGGGGTTGTGTTTACTTTGCGGGATAGCAGTCACATTCGCATGGAACAAAGATGCGTCCTGCACACCTCTGCGGTAAGCGCATGTGTGTCCCACTGTCACCTTACGTACGCGTTCTTCCCTTGCTATATCTCCCTACTGCAAGTTATTGCACTGGAAGACATAAATCAGACCAGCCTGTCTGTTGTGAGACGCAAGAGAAAGTGTTTGCCTGTGCAAAAGGAACGGCTGGATTTTCACGCAGCCTCAACCCCATTTAGCGCGGTCACTGTTAATGAGATTTTGGTCCCTTAACATGTACAAGTTTCAGACACAGCGGCAGACAGGAGTAGGTGGACTATTATAGTAGACTGTGGTTGTATATTTATGTGGCCGGCAGATTAAATCTTTTCAGCACTGCGATAACTGAGCTTCTCTGACTTAACGGCGTTAATGCTTTCCAGCTTATTCTTTAAAGAAAAGCTGTGACGCTTTCGTTTCGCGTTCATTTTTAAACGGCTGCAGTACCGTTCCTGACAGATTAAGTTCCCAACTGCGCATGTAATTGTTGCTTTTTATCGTTGGGCTGTTTTGCATCGCAAGATTCGGAATTGGGCAGACTTAAAACTAGAAGCCGGAGCTTTCTTTGAAATTGTTGCTTCTCGTTCTTAGCCGGGTGTACGTAACGCAGGGGTTGAATGTACGGTAAATATGGTCTGTCGTTCCGTGATAGGTGTACGTTATACTTGTAGAGGGGTGAACCTTATACAGAGAACTGCCCCTATGTTATAATATGCCGGACAGTCCGGTTCCCAGCCGTATGCACACAGTAAAGGGGTGATCGTTATATAAGGGTGTACGTTAAGAAGGGTTTCACTGTACTTGATTACAGTTATTGTGGAAGATACTGTGCAGCTGTCGTTCAGATTTTTTGTATCGCTTCTGAAATCTTTCGACGTCGCAGAGAATCAAGACACCGGTGAAGATAAAAACAATCTCATTCCACAACATTAATAACGCTCTCCAGTGTGCCGGTAAGTTGGCTGATCACACTGGGCAGGAAATCAGGCATACCGTGGCAATTTTAAGTGTGGAAAAGATCGGAGCGAAAATGCCACAAATATGTCGATGAGGGAGATCCAGTAAAATGTTTATCGTTGCCGTTGTTTAATAGGATCGTGTCCAGCCCGCCTACTTTATGGTAGACGATCCAAAACCAAAAAAATGTCGCAAATGACAGTCGATGCTGCATAGGTGAAGGAACTTTCCATGGTCGGAAAGTGATATTATAGATCATGTGTTTGATACTGGTTGACAAAAACGTGACAAGCGAAATTTAATGACGATTTAATGCAATATCTGAGAATCCATTTTGAATTGTGAATTTGTGATGAGTGCTCGCTGCCGGGACCAAAGTGCAGAAATCATGGGAGCCTCTTAATAATACGGAAACTCCTTTAGGAGTACTACAGTCTCGCTAATGGATCCTCCGGGTATAAACGTTGTCAGAGAACGGTAAAGCTTCATAGTATTTACTGTGCAGTATAATGTTTCTCTTACCATCTTTACAGAAAAATCTCTCTGTGTGCAACACTATGCGGAATTGTAATAAAAACTTTTTCGTTAGTGGTCCTGCTCACTTTATCAACGCCAGTGGTCTAATTTTGTGTCGTCCCGGCTCTCTCGGAAATATTCACCTAAGACTTTCTTCTAAAAATAGGCCAGTTTTATAACAAAGCTTTGATATAGAGCTGAACGAAAATAGCAAACACGGTAGTAGACCACACTGCGGGGTTTTTTTGATTGTTTCTTTTTATGCCAGTTTCTTTATGCGAGATGAGAAAGCGAAAATCATAAACTGCTGGTAGTTTTCAATCTCATGCACAACGCACGCTTATCTCTTGGCGATGCTGTTTTCATAATTATTTTCTGTTACGAATGCTCCGGTTTTATTGCGTATGAATTATGAATAAAGAATGTCTGAACTACTACAGCTGGCATTGAGCAGCCCAGTAAGAGCAGTTCAATTTGGAGAATTCCAGTTTCATTGCGTCCGCTAAGCTGCTGCCACCATTGGTAAGGTTGTCTCCGAGCTCGCTGGCCAGGATTCCATAACTGATGAACAGTCCGATTATCTAAACATAACAAGCGCTGCAGTTTCTATGGTATCATGACACTTCCTACACAAGTCACACGACACAGCATTACTCCCGACTCAGGGACTAACCTTTACGTGGATTTCAACCCATGAAAAAATGTATCAGATTATGTTGGTAAGTAGGCCGCCACTGCAGCTTGCATTCTGCGTTTTTCATGGGCAGAAAAAGCTAACATACTAACATGTTTAGACATGGTGGTGGTTCGCAAAATCTGGAAGAATACGGAGCTTACGAACCGTTTGGTTTCCTTAAATTAAAGAGCTTTGCTACAAATTCATTTACAATTCGTGAAATACTACATTCTTGCTTACGCTGGCTACGAACCCCCGGTCAATGGTGATCATATTAGCGACACTGAACACCGTGGGCTGACTGGCGATGCCATATAGCCGAATAAATGAATCCTTTTTATTGGTTTCGTCTCCTTCGTTATCGATCAGTATCTGCAGTTCGTCGGAAATGTCCGCCTTGAGAAAGCAAGCAGAAGCAGTCTTTTTACCCAGTTCACAAGTTATTCACTTCACTGGTAAAGTGCTATACAGTCAAGTTGGTAAGGTGTCACAAATAATTCAATTGGTAACGTGCTACAGTTCATTTCCTAATTTTTCGACTCAGAGGTGAAAGCAAGGGGTGTGGCTTATTCACAGTCACAGAGAATGGGAATGCTTCGCTGAGTCCACATACATCCATTCAGATTTAAAATCAGTGTGCAGCCGTCAATACAGTGAGCTTGAACTGATTTTGAAGAATGTACAGATATGTTCTGTGAACCAAAAAATACTGTACATGTTACCTGTTCTGCGACAAAAATCGCCGCGGCGGTAACAGAGACGACCAAGAAGGCCTGGAATATCAGCCAGGGCGGCATACTTTCGGCCGAGTTCTTATTCAGACTGTTGATTACCCACATGTATAGCATAATAATTTGCGCGTAGAAACAGAGGAAGAATACCGCCATCCGCTGATTCAGTATCTGTATGTCGCAGCCGAGCGCTGCATGATCTTTCAGCACAGCTTCCACGGCAGCTTTGTCCGCTGTTTCCGCTGTCAACAGCGCATTCAGTTTTCTCCGCATAGCCGAAAAGCCGAAACCGGTGACGATGCAGACGGTAATAAACTGCCCAATAAGCGCATGGTAACCGTAATTATAGACAAGATAGATTAGGGCGATGGCATACGACAACCACACGGTGACTGTCCGTGGTATATTCGGGAATACAACGTAGAAATTCGGGTAATCCCGTAGCAGAATTTCCCGCGCTGATTTTATTACCACAAAATTAAAGTAAAGCACGTACCCCAGCACCGACAGCGAGAACATGCCGGCGAGTAGAATGGCTGGTATGTTGCGGCCGCACTGATGTAATCGCGTTCTCTGGTAAATGCGCTTAATGGCGGTAGTGGTTCTGGAGTGATACAAACTGGAAATCGCAATCAGCATGAACATAACGTCCAATTGACCCGAGCAGAAAACATCCACAAGGTTCTCCAGGGTTCCCGTTAAGCGAAGAACATTCGAAGGGACGTTGATTATGCATACCATCAAAATATTACTAGTTACCAGTACGAGCACATACAGCATATACGCCGTAGTCCAGAGTCTCGACAAAAGCCTGTTTCTTGATCCCGAAAATTCCGGGATCTCCAGACCACAAATTTGTAGTACAGTTGTCCATAACCTGAAGAGTAGATTGAGGACCCTCGAATTGATCTCGGTGAGGGCCATAGTCTGATACAGCTGGTATAGCGCGGTCGTGCAGTCTCTCACCACCAATAGTTCCGAGAGATCATGCGTCGCCAATGGCGTTTATAAACCAGCCAGAAGAAATGAGTTTGAATTTATGCTGCGTTAGCAATCTAGCAAGTGCGCGGAAGGATCAAATATCCGCAATAAGAAATTGCCAGAGTGGTAACTAACTTGATAGTGCAAATGTTTGCGGTTGTTTCACTGACGTACTTTTCCATTTATATCTTCACCACCGTATAACTGCATTTTGCACTATTGTAGGATGCGTATGTTTTTTACTTCTTGTAATAACAGCTGTCGTATGTGACCGGCAGAAGTATCTACCCAGGCAAAGTGTCCCCCGGACATTTCTGCCTTGTCGCCCTTGCCACCAGAAGAACAGAAGCCGTCAAATGGTCAACAAACAAACAACAAACATACTGTTAACAATCAATAAACAATATGTATACCATAAGTTTATTTAACGTAAAGTAAACATTTCAGCAACATCAAATACGGATACTGTGTGGTTTTTACTCAATAATTTATTATGATTTACCTATAAATCAACAGTATTAATAAGTAATGGTAATAAATAACTTTAAAGCAACTTGACTTCTGTTGTCAATAGATTAATATATAAACATAAATGAATATTACGATTGTGCTAAGCTAACGTGCACCAAAAGAAAACAAAGTGATATCGGCCATCACCCCGCGGGAAAACATCCGGAATAGAGGCACACTCTCTAAGGTCACCCGGCAAACGTGAAGAAGAATGCTGACAGCACGACAACAGCCTCCAGCTCAGACATCTGTTGCCTCTGTACTGCGCTTTCATCTGAGCCGAGATCAGTGTCAATATCTGGATGATAGATGCGCCATTATGATTCCGCTAAGAATAACAGATAAAACCGGCTGTTTTAGCACCTTCGTTGTCTTTTTTCCGGAAATTTGGGCATTCTGACCACTAAAACCACTAAAAATGCAAAGTAACAGTAAAAAACTTAAAAAAGGAAGTGCTTCATTTTCCTGTCGTGGTACAGGTACAGGGAACCCGGACCTCTGGACGCGATATCAACCAGTAACAAATGCATAGCACGTTTGCATGTACAGTATGTAGGTACATGTCATTTATTTGTACTACTGAATTGGAAGGGAAAAAAAGAAAAAGCAATAAAAAAATATATACATGAATTTAAACTATAAGAATATTCAATTCAGCAAGAGCTTATTCAAAAAACAATAAGCCTGCGATGGTTTAAATTAATTAAAATGATTCAAAATTTAAATCGTAGAATTATGTTTTATTGTTTAAAAAACAAGTCTTATTTTTCAGCTTTCGAACAGATTCCATGTCATCCAGTGTACACTGACCGAAAACGTTTTAACTCTACACGAAGCTACTTCACTACATTCATATGCAATTCCCGTATGAACGCAGTTCTGCAGTCGTACTATCGTCAAGTCTCTTACAAACTTGAACAACCATGAATTTCTACCGATTTCGGGCGTTTCTCACTGAAGGTACCGAGACCGTCGCGGGATGCCCGGCAGTACTAGTTAACCTCCAGATGACCTGGTCCCGAAGAAACCGCCGACGGATCGTTCGCCGTCCCCCGCGGAAGCAACTCCGACTGCCCGAACACCGGCGCGTAAGTACCTAAAGGTCACGCGGCACGAATGCCAACGACAGCATATCGCCAGGTCGGATATTATTAAAAAGAATTCCCATCGCAGATGAAATCGTAGCACAACGGCATCAGCATCTCGGAATTACAACGTTCTGGGAATCCTGGGATATTGCCAAATGTTACATGTCAACATTAGAAGGGAACCAGCGTTTGTAAATTTTTCTTATATTTTTGTAAATATTCTGCACGCACACCATCGACAATTTACGTAGTAGGGTACAGATACATGGCTATAACATTCTGCGTCTGAAATGCAAAACAAAAATGCTTACACTTCCGTCATCTACGGAACTACATATTTCAACCCAAATTCAGAAAAATCTCGTATTTTCTCGACGAGTAGTATAGTTAATAGAGCCCCCAAACAGTATACACTAGATAATTTTATTGAATTACATCGCGTATTACACAAGTAACAAGAACAACAATCCTTGACATCATTGCCGTTTAACCAATTTGAAGGCAAAATACACATCTTCCTTCTCCGCCATGTCACTAAAAGTACCGAGAACAGCTACTGCAGTTCCTCGCTGAATCTCGATACCTATTTTCTGACAGAAAAACTCCCCTGAGCGAGGGTTGCCTGTACAGAGTACAGTCACAGATCTTTCTCGACAATCCTTAAAGAACTTCTTCGTCTGCGGTCCAAATGTTCCCGTAGTTTCGTACGCCAGCGGTTGAACAATGTAACGATCTGCCAGCCCGCTTTACTTTCCTAATTTCCGGTTTTCCAGTATTTCCGCTGCACTCCCCGGCGCCCTGGACGTCTGGCCGATGTAAGTTAGGGCAAATGTGTCGGCCACGGTATCATCCCACACTAGCGGCTTTCCACTGTTCCATGGGAAAGCTGTCACTCCGTCGGGCCGCTTTCCATCGCCTCTGTCTAAACCCACCGGCTCGAGTGACGAAGGCACTTTTGCCGAACTCAAAGCCCGCTCGGTTGCTTCCTTCAAAACGGCGTGGACACCGTGCCTTCTTTCGCCAGCTTGCAAACCAGACCATGGTGTCCGAGACTGTCCACGGTACTGCCGCACCGACACACATGCTTTTGACATACTGGAGCTCCCAGCCGCCGCGCCACGGCAGTTCTTAAGTGGGCATCCTCCAGTAAATTTCCAAATATTGTTACCGGCAATGCAGACAACCAGGCACGCGATTCCGGTGAGGATGCAGCCAACAAGCGAGCAGAGGTAAATACGTCGGCATTCTCCATCATGCGGGATGCTGTCTGGGTATGTTGCAGTGCTGTACAGACCGACTGGAGGTGTCGGCTTTCCATCCGCGGGGGCTCCAGGGAATAACGTCCACTCCACACTTCGGTTAGATGATCGGTCCTTTCTGTTATAGAGGCGTTGCCCGTAATGCTGCACACCATGTCAGTATACTGTGCTGCCGTATACGGCATACTGTACGGCACAACAGTACGTACGTAACCGTTAGAAAAAAAAGACTACGGTAAATGATTTGCCGTACCGGCCCGTACATAACCGTATACGGTACTGCCGTATTCGGTATACGGTACGGTCAATCCAGTTATTTTTACCGTAACCGTACCGTACCCGTAGGGGCCGTAAGCGGAAACCATACGTAGCCGTACACAAATTTGCTACTGTTTGGGGGCCCTAGTATAGTATACTACCTAGGTACGTTGAAAAAGTTATTTTCATCTGCAGAGCTCAAAAGGGCGTGGCGAAAAAACAATTAAGTGAGTACACAGTACTACGTTGTACTATGTAGTAAGTATGTACTTACTTATAGTTAATTTTTAATACGTGAGTACCAGACCTGGGCAGTTATGGAAAATGAACCCACAGTTAGAGTTACGAGTTACAGGGAGCATGCGAGTTAAGCTACGAGTTACGCTACTCATGCAAGGAAAACCAAGTTTCGAGACTCGAGTTATACCGCGAGTTGCGCTACCATAGACAATACATACAGATTTTAGGCGAGTTACGTTAGAGTTACGTTTTTGGGTTGCGAGTTACGCTTCAGAGTTACGTTAAAACTCGATAACTCGCAAATAACTCGCGTTAAGTTATAGAGTTAACTTGTAAGTTATAAGTGCCCAGGTCTGGTGCGTACCTATTACTATCAATGCAATAACTGCTAGCGCCGCTGCATTTCGAAATTACGAATTTTCATAAATTCGTGATAATACAAAGTAATCCTGTTCTGCAAGCTGCTTGTATGTTCGTAAATAACAATTCTGTTCATAAAGTGCCAGAAAATATTTAATTGGGAACTTCATTATTGTGTAGCACGAATTACTTAACGACGTTCACTTACGGATGGTGAGCTTCTGTAAATTAACAGCTAACCCAACTAATTTAAAACCTAAATTATGGAACCAATAATTGATACGAATGAATGTAAATGTAATGTAATCATAATTCCCTGACTCCCACCCGGGGGAACATCCAACTAAATAAATACCGGCGTGCACATAAAGGTCACCCGGCGAACATTTATATTATAAGCAGAATATTTATATTATAAGCAGAATGTAGACGCGGCAGGCATGCCGATATGCTGGATCTGGAAAAGCATCCCCATTAAAGAAGGAATCGTAGCACAGTGGTAAAATAAATTAAATAGCAACACTATGTTACTGGGAAATTAAAAAGGATACAAGTGCTGACAGAAGTTCCTTGCACTTTTTTTGAAAATTCTGCACGCAGAGTATGAATTTTTTGCAGCCATGGGATACCATCTAAAATAATCTGCTAAAAAATTCCCGAAAGCTGAATTCCAGAGGATCTAGTCCCGAAGGAACCGCCGAGGGATCGCCCATCGTTCCCGCGGGAGCACATCCCCTGCCCGAACACCGGCACGTACCTAAAGGTCACGTAGCAAACGTTAAGAAGAATGCTGACGACCGCATATAACGCTA